TCCCGTGCGGGCTCCGGCCGACAGGCCCTGGCTCAGCCCGGGGGACCGGCAGTGCCCCTGCTGCCCCCGCGCACCCTCCTGCTGCTCCTGGCTTCCCGCAGGTCTCCACCATGCCGCCCCTCGGGCCCCAGGCGCTTTCTCCACAGCTGGTGGCAGCGGTAAGTCACAGAGAGACATCATCAGCCCTGATGGATGGGTGCAGAGGGTGGAAAATCTGTTGGTATTTGACTGCTTGCTTTGGTTTCTCTTGACCACCTCAGACTGTCGCTCTAACCCTCTCCATTTCCATTCCCTCCTGCACACACACTTGCCGTGTCCCTGGGGGTCCCAGCAGCCTGGCTGTGGCTCCATGTGGTAGCTTCTCGGGGTTGCAGCAGTCTGAAAGCAAACCTCAGCTAGCTAAGCACCCTTTCATCCCACCTCATCCACTTTGCTTTCCCCTAGCCTGCAGTTCTAAAGACTGCTTTGCTCTCACAGTTTGCTGAAGCTTCCTTTATCTTGGACTGTCCTTCCAGCTTGCTCTGCTGGCTGCCTCCGCAGCCCTCCTCTTCACCAAGTCCTGTGGGCTGTGTTCCTTTCGGATAGCAGCTGCTCGTTTCTCTGCTCTCCCCAATAGTGCCTCTTGTGCCAAGGGGGGAAGTAGTCTCCTTTACGCCTACCTCTAGCTTTCTGTCCTGCAGTTAGGCCTTTTCTGCCAGTGAGTTAGACTGAGTCCAGAACAAACCCAGCGCTTGACTTCAGTTGCATTTTCTTGCTTAAGACACCTGTGTGTCTCTAGCATTTCGTCTGGGCTCTCGCAGCACAAGCTATTCGGTGGCTGCCTGTCTCTCAGCGTTTGTCACCTGGGTGCTACCCCAACCAAAGTGCTTTGTGAATTCCTCTCCTTTCTGGCAAAGTTGCCTCCGTGGTAGGAAGGAGTCCAGGGATGGCTAGTATGGCCGTGCGGACAGAGAACTCAGTCCCTGTGAATGCTGAGCAGCTGAAGATGACTCTAAAGAAATGAGAGGGGAAGTGCTAGTTACCACAGGACACCCGGGAACTGCTCACCACCTGCTCCAGCTAGGGTTGGTGTCCTGTACTGGGACAGTCAAGCACCTGTGGCTAGTTTGTTTTTTTTAATTGGTTCACCAACTCTCTAACCACTCCTACATAATAGCATCAGCACAAAAATGCATTTTTTTAAAGACCCAAATTCTCTATGACTATATGAACTGGAGGAACGTGGAAGGAAGCATTTTGGAAATAGTCTCAGTAACCACTGGTGTTAGAGACAGGGTTGCTGTGAGGCTGCTTTCTTCAGATGTAGCATTGGCACAGAATCTGGGCAGGGGAGAGTAAAATTTTAATGCTGTTGTCTGCCTTGCTAACATGTGAGGAAGGAACATTGCTGTGTCTTTTTGGATAACCTGGAGAATAAATACTGCTCTGCTGCTGTTGAACTGGGGCAGAAACTGCAGTTAAGCTCCACCTTATTATTCCAACCTGATTGTTGTTGGAACAGGGAGATGCTTTTTTGTGTTTGCGTGTGTGTGGTGGAGACTAGCCCGGAACGCAGAGATGCTGTGGATGAAAACGTGTTGCTGGCTGGGAGTTTCCCAGCCCTAACACGAGTTGGTGTGCCATGTTTCCCTCTAGTGGACTGCTCATGAAAAGCCTATTCCTATAAATAGCGATTACGAAGAGTTGAAGGAGAAATTACTTTGTAAGTCAAGAGTCAGAGGGTTCTGTCTAACACCCCACACATATGCCTGTGTACGTACAATGAGGTGGTGTATGGTTTTATTATAACTTGTGGTAACTAGAGCTGGGAGAAAACAGAAGAATGTGAGATCAAAAACCAGAGGCAATGTGTTACCAAACCAAATTGACTGTTGTACTCCTGATGTTTTTTGAGCTGTGATTCACTCTTCCCACAGGGAGACTGGATCAGCTTGGAGACCGTTTTCTTACATGCAGTGAGAGAGGAGAAATCCCTTCAGTTTGAGGCCTATTAAGAAAGTAGAGAGGTGTCTATTTTTCACTTGGCTTCCCGTATGTGAGGACACCAGTAGGTGATTCACTGCACCTTTGCTTCAATGGTTCCATTCACTTGGCCTCTGCTTCCTTTGTAACCTCTTCCTTCCAGCTGAAGGAGGATTTTTTGTTCCCTGAAAAAGGATTTTCTCCTCTGTTCATCTGCACAGGTCACCTTGACTAATAACATTCACAACTTCTAACTAAATTGAGAGCCAGTGATGGTTTTCCAGTAGTGAACAAGTAACCAAACATATCAAACCTGCATCAGATCATTTGTTCATCATGGAACTGTGCAACAGTTAAAGATGTTGGTGTCATGTTTTTACAGCACATTGATGCTTAATACCAGTACATCTGCCAAAACATGAAGACTAAAACCAAAGGAAAGAAGCAAAGGCATACTGCTGGCAAAGAAGCATTTTCTGAGGAGTCAGTAATGAGAAAAAAAGACCTGGTGAAACGTTTGCGACACAAGGAAGGGAGGAATGGGGGAAACAAGGAGAGCAGCAAGATCACTACAGCCAGAGCCAAGCATCCTTGGAGCAATAAGGACAGGCATTTGAGGAGGCTGGAAAGCAACGAGCGGGAGAGGCAGAGAATGCACAAGCTCAACAACGCGTTCCAGGCTTTGCGGGAGGTGATCCCTCATGTGAGAGCTGAAAAGAAACTTTCCAAAATAGAGACACTCACGTTGGCCAAAAATTACATTAAATCCTTGACCTCCATTATACTCAATATGTCCAACGGACACTTTCCAGCAGCAGAAGGAATGGGGGCAGCCTTGGGGTCCAAATTGTACCAGCATTATCAACAGCAACATGGGGATGATGACAATGAGGAACATCTACAAAAATATTCCACATAGGTTCATAGCTTCAGCCAAAACACCTACAGTTAGCTACTACTGTCATTCTTTTTCCTTCTTGCATGGTAATACATGTCAGTATATAGAGGTTTTAATAGATTACTTTTGCTGCCAGCTGTCCCCTATTTTTTCTTAAAGTGACAAACATGTGACGCTCATGGCTGCAGCTTATATGGCACATAAAAACAAATTACCTTAAATTATAAGATTTTTTTCAGAGCTTAATATATTTGTGTGGTGTGTCAGGATCCAGAAACCTATCCTATAACACTGTAGTTGACTTGAAAGTAAAGTTTTAGTAACTTGTGAAAATTACCCTCCTTGCAAGGGCTGTGAGTTGAGCGTTGAGGCCTGTGTCACCTGAGGTCACTAGAGCTTGTAGAGGATCTCAGCTGTAGCACTGTTCGCTGACCGCCCAGTGACTCTGTTCTTATCTGTCCTGCTACTGAGGAAACTAAAATTGATGACAGCAGTCGAGTAACTTGATGAGTGAAGTGGCACGTACGGGAAATTGGCCACCAAATCTGAATATATTTGTCTTGAGTGTTTTCGATCTGCTCTGATCATTTTGAATCTTGCAAAGCATAAAATTTTTTAAAGTATTTGTTAATGTAAACGTCTACAAAGCTTTCTTAGATTGTAAGCTCTCTAGAGTAAGGGCGTTTTCTGGTCTGTGTTTCCAGAGCATCCAGCCTCATGGAGTTTTTCTTTAGTGGGTCTCTGGGTGCCATTGTAATACAAATAAGGGACAAAGGACTTAGTTTTGGCAAAACTATGATAAAAAGGCTTTAGTACAGTCATAAGTTAGACAATAAACTATGCAATTACACATTATTTGCTAATGAAGGCTCTAAGGTGATCAGGATTCTTTCTGGGTTAATGCTAGATTCTAGTATTATAAAACACAATAAATTAAGCAGGAGATCTTCAAAAAAGGAAAATGAGATTTTTTTTTTTTTCTTTCTCCCCGTTTTACTGTAAGAAGTTTTATGTCACTGGGAACTCTTACTTCCTCTTGTATTCTCATCCCTGAAGAACAAGCTGAGGTGCCCTCAGTTGGAACTGTGTTGCGTATGGAGCCTTTGGGGGATGTGGGTAGAAAGAGCTGTAACACAAGTCCTGTCCTGGCAGGACAGCTGTTGCTCTGTGGTGCACAGAGCAAAGGTGGAATCTGGCATCTCGTGCACCAGCAGTTTGCAGCGTGGTCCTTCTCCCTGCAACGTAGGGCTGTCCAAGGAGGAACAGTGGCTGAGGAAGGATTGGTCAGATCCATCAGAGAAGAATTACCCTGCACTGCATGGTTTGTAACGTGCTATTTATTTTGCTCCAGCAGGGCTGATAGCGTGACAAGACTTCATTCAGACTAAAAATTAAGGTTCCTCAGAAAGGCTGGTGAGGGATGGGAATTATTTTCCTCCACCGCAGTGATCATACAGGTATGATGTAGAACAACGTAATGTTTTGTGTGCGTGGTTGCCTTACTGGAGAGAGAAATTATTTGGATCCTGCTTTGACTTGGGATTTTCTTAGTTTCTGAACAGTTTTCACACTGCAGTAGTTGTGATTAGCCCTCCCAGTACTCAAGAGTTAATGACTAGTCTCTTACAGATTTGACTTGTAACGGTGCTCTGTCTTACTTTGTGCAACAGCTGCTCCTTATTGGTAAAGCCCTTAATGTATCTGTGTGTTGTCGGAGGATAACGGGACAAAGCAGTGACACCAAGGCGTTTTCTTTCAGTTGTTCCACTTACTCTTACCTGAAGAGATGCCATGTTGGGTGTCACTCGGTCATTTCTCACCGTATAGGTCGACGCTGTTGGTAACAGCAGACAGACCCGCGTGTGGAGGGGCGGGAGCGGTGAATGGTGGCACGAAGGGATGGACGGGCGGGCTGTGCCTGTGGTGGTATGCGGTGTGGCTGCTGGGAGAACGCCAGTGTGCACAGCCACCCCCAGCACAGGCTGGAGGCTCTCACGGGAATTACTGTGCGTGGACTAAAGGGATTTGGGTGTCAAAATGCACTAATCGGGTACGTGCACTTTCACAAATTGCACTGCGGCCCTGCGCCGGGGTCCTGGGGAGAAGCCGGGCAGGGGAGGGGAGCAGTTTCTGCCCTGGCGCTGCGGGGCATCCCCGGCGGCTGGAGAGGCGATGGGGACCCCGGAGCGGGACCGCTGCCCCT